TACGCGTAAGCTATATGCGTCGTTCACACGTCCGCTCTATACGCGCGTATACTATACGAAGTACGTAGAAACGCACTCATTATTTGTCAGGATAGTGATACGCGTTTCGTAACTGATGTATAGTAGCTATACGTGTGTCGTTGTAGATCGAGGGAATTTATCGCGAGTCCGTCGAAACTCTGATTTCGTACGCGTCACGAACCCGTCGGATTTTGCTAACGTGTAACGCGGCTATAGGTCTCATTCACTGTGTGCCGCCAGCGTAGTGTGGCGAGCGGTTTATGTCTCATTCACGTGTCGACGCGTAGAGTGCGGCGAGCGTTTATGTCTCATTCATGTGTACGAAGCCGTCATGTCGGCGAGCGTGTATGTCTCAGCTTTGTGGTCGAGCGTAGTGTCGGCGGAGCGTTTATGTCTCATTCATGTGTCCGAAGCGTAGTGTCGGCGACGTTTATGTCTCATTCATTGTGTCCGAGCGTAGTGTCAGGCGAGCGTTTATGTCTCATCATGTGTCAGAGGGCTAGTGTCGGCGAGCTGTGATATGTCTCATTCAGTGTCCAGATTGACTCGCGACGAAGTGCCTGACCGCGTCGGCGATCGAAGGCTGACATACAGGTTCTGCGTGTTTGTGTTTGATAGTCGGCGGCGACTGCTGCGCCCTCTGATGGTCGGCTATTGCAGTCATGCAGTAGCGTCCCCGGCGCCTTATACCCTGTTACGTCATTAGCTTACGCACTCGATACGAACTTTAATTTAGCGAAAGTCTGTCTTTCCGAGAGTCCATTCACACGTGATCTCCTGGCCGACACCGTACGCATGTACGCCACGCTATCACGCACGTAGCATGCAGTGCCGCACACGTCATCAATTCCTAGTGCAGCCAATCTACCGATGTGTATATATACAAGTGCATTATCGCAAATTATTCCAAAAGTGTTTTAGACGCTTATTGAAGTGTTTGTGATTTGTGACGAGAATGATGTTTTCACGGCATACTGCTGCGCAGCGGCGGTGTAGTTTTTAGTTATTTTAAATCTTAAAAATAAATGTTGAAAAAAAGCTAGGTGTTTAATAGGGATGGAATTATTGTGTTGTTCTGTTCTTCTATTGTTATTATTACGTTATTATTTTAATAATGTAATATATTATTCTATTAATCATTGGTCACTATACCTCATCTGTGTGATGTGATGATGATCGCGCCGCGAGACGACCACGACGGAACACACGAATGCGGTCATCAGGAACAGAGATTATTACTTATTATTATTTTGTTATTATTCTATTTATTACTATTGACTATCATCGTTCATCATTATTATATAAACAATAATAATTATTTATTATTCATTTGCGAGGCAGCTGAATGAGTCATAGGCTTCAGGAGCTGGCAATCCAGCAGCTTCTTGGATATTGAGCGGATCCCTACACCACCGAGCCGATGACGATGGGGAGAGATTGCTGGCTTCCACAGTCACTACAGGGTCAGTCCGGCGTTGAGGGTGTGTATATTCACTGTAGCACAGTGACTACAGGGTGTGGCAGGAGGTTTGTATATACACTGTAACACAATCACTACAGGGTGTGACAGGATGTGTGTATATTCACTGTAACACAGTGACTACAGGGTGTGACAGGAGGTTTGTATATACACTGTGACACAGTCACTACAGGGTGTGGCAGGAGGTGTGTATATACACTGTAACACAGTCACTACAGGGTGTGGCAGGAGGTTGTATATACACTGTGACACAGTCACTACAGGGTGTGGCAGGAGGTGTGTATATACACTGTAACACAGTCACTACAGGGTGTGGCAGGAGGTTGTATATACACTGTGACACAGTCACTACAGGGTGTGGCAGGAGGTGTGTATATACACTGTAACACAGTCACTACAGGGTGTGGCAGGAGGTTGTATATACACTGTGACACAGTCACTACAGGGTGTGGCAGGAGGTGTGTATATACACTGTAACACAGTCACTACAGGGTGTGGCAGGAGGTGTGTATATTCACTGTAACACAGTCACTACAGGGTGTGGCAGGAGGTTGTATATACACTGTAACACAGTGACTACAGGGTGTGGCAGGGGGTGTGTATATTCACTGTAACACAGTGACTACATGGTGTAGCAGCAAGGACCGAATCATGCACGCATCATCACAATGTTATCTCGGTACTTATAGAATCAGTGGCATCAAGAAAACTTTTTGTGAAATTTAATAAACTTACGACGCCGATAGTATCGGGGCTTGTGTTGATTGATGAGCGTACTGAATAATCTAGCAAAACACTTCATTTATTTCCTTGTACGCAACACTTTCGAATGGTCGGAACTAGTAAACTGGGAGTTTATGTGGCCTGTGTATTGACGTAGATATAGTCAAGAGTCCATATAATAGAGTCCAATAATAGAGTCTCTACTATGGACTCTTGATATAGTCTATGTCTGTGCATGTGTAAGGGAGGATGACAAGTCTATGTCTTGGTAATATAGTGTTTACAGTTGCCTCGGTAACTTTAGGTTAAAGGTCACATTAGTAGAAAATAATAATGGCGTTTTTGCTCATTTCTAAATGTCATTTTGCCAAATGGTTTTAATTCGATTCTCGGCTCACTGTCGGCGAACTGCGTAAAAAGAGGAAAACTCAAAAATGCATCTCTAGATCTGACAGAATCACTTACTTGGGGTAGTGATAATTTGCTTAGTTAACGGTGGCGTGTATATATGCATAGGTCGTTGATAAAGGCTACAGAAACGTTCTGATCTTTGAGGATGATGTGCGCTTTGAGCATTTCTTCAGACGGAAGCTTGATGCGTTGATGATGGAGGCCAAACAGATGAGGCTCGATTGGGATCTCATGTAAGTATATCTTTCTGTGCGCACGCGTCTTTATATATAGGCGTGTGTGTGTTTGTGTTCGTGGATGCATGCGTGTGTGCGTGGATGCGTGTACGTGCGTGCGTGTGTATGTGTGTGGGCGCGCGCGCATGTGGCTATGTGTTATTTCTCTCAGCTCCATATTCTCATATGTCTCATTCATGTGTCCGAGCGTAGTGTCGGCGAGCGTTTATGTCTCATTCATGTGTCCGAGCGTAGTGTCGGCGAGCGTGTATGTCTCATTCATGTGTCCGGATTGACTGCGCGAGTGCCTGACCGCGTGGCGATCGAAGCTGACATCGTTCTGCGTGTTTGTGTTTGATAGTCCGGCGGCGACTGCTGCGCCCTCTGATGGTCGGCTAGTGCAGCATGAGTGCGGCCGGCGCCATTACCCTGTTACGTCATTAGTTACGCACTGATGACGAACTTATTTAGCGAAAGTCTGTCTTTCCGAGAGTCCATTCACGTGATCTCCTGCCGACACCTACGCATGTACGCACGCATGCACGCACGTGAGCATGCGTGCGCACACGTCATCACTTCCTAGTGCAGCAAATCTACGATGTTATATATACAAGTCCATATCCGACAATTATTCCAAATGTGTTTTACCGCTTATTGAATTTGTTTGTGCCTGAGATGATGTTTTCAAGGATATGGCTGCAGCGGCGGTGTAGTTTTTAGTAATTTTAAATCTAAAACATAATGTTGAAACAAAAGCTAGGTGTTTAAGGGGATGAAATTATTTGTGTTGTTCTTGTTCTTCTAATTGTTATTATTACTGTTATTATTATTAATAATGATAATATTATTATTATTATCATTGTCACTATCCTCATCCTGTGTGATGTGATGATGATGACGACGACGAGACGACCACGACGACCACGACGATGACGTCATCAGGGAACATGATTATTATTATTATTATTATTGTTATTATTACTATTATTACTATTACTATCATCGTCGTCATCATTATATATAACAATAATAATTATTATTATTACATTTGCAGGCAGCTGAATGAGTCATGGCTTCAGCAGGCTGGCATCCAGCAGCTTCTTGGATATGAGGATCCCTACCACCACCGACCGATGACGATGGGAGAGATTGGCTGCTTCCACAGTCACTACAGGGTGTGGCAGGAGGTGTGTATATTCACTGTAACACAGTCACTACAGGGTGTGGCAGGAGGTGTGTATATTCACTGTAACACAGTCACTACAGGGTGTGACAGGAGGTTTGTATATACACTGTAACACAGTCACTACAGGGTGTGGCAGGAGGTTTGTATATTCACTGTAACACAGTGACTACAGGGTGTGGCAGGAGGT